CCAAGCTTCCCAATTCCCAAGCTCCCCAATTCCCAAGCTCCCTAATTCCCAAGCTTCCTAATTCCCAAGCTCCCAAATTCCCAAGCTCCCCAATTCCCAAGCTCTCAAATTCCCAAGGCCCCAAATTCCCAAGCTTCCTAATTCTCAAGCTCCCCAATTTCCAAGGCCCCAAATTACCAAGCTTCCCAATTCCCAAGCTCCCCAATTCCCAAGCTCCCCAATTCCCAAGCTTCCCAATTCCCAAGCTCCCCAATTCCCAAGCTCCCAAATTCCCAGGTCCCCAATTCCCTTCCTAACAAGGTTTCCCTACATTGCCATGTACCCTAGTTTGTGTCTTTCAACATACATACGTCGATCTCATACCAATATCAATATACATATTCCAATGTTATCTCATATCAATATCAAAGTACTCCAATATTTCCTCCCTCTTTATACCTTAACAAAGCATTAAAACATACACCCGTACATTAAGTTAGTGACTTATCCACCAACTCCTAGTGAAGCCTAGTTACTCAATCAAAAATCTTACACCAATTTTACCCCGAACTTTCAATACACCTGCGGCTACAGCGACATGTGGAGGTCCTGACAACACATCCATTTCCTTCCATCAATCTCACGATGCCCACCAATTCATATTTTGCCATAGCTACTCGACAGCACAATGTGAAATTTAGAACGAGCGCGACCGTGGTAATCAATGAGGTAAGCCGGGATACGCGTATCTCATTGGTTATTCCGCGACAAGGCGCGCATGACGGTCTAACCTCGACTCTGTCTTTGTCCGTTCGCACCATAGGCATATATGGATAAAGTCAAAGTCGACATGAGAGAGAGAGAGCGATAGCTGCAGTTGTTGCCTCTCTTTTCTATGTGTGAAGTGGTGGGAGTCCTTTGTGCGTGCGATACTTCCCTCCCTGACATTGGCGTAGCTTTAGAGGGTGAATTTGTAAAGTGGACACTAGATAAATTCCTGCGTTCTTAATTTCCTGAGTCCCAAATTCTCAAGGTTTGTAATTTTCTGGGTTCACAATTCTTAAGGGGCGGAAATTCTCAAGGTTTATAATTCTCAAGCTTCTTGGTTGCCAAGGTTACAAATTTGCAAGGTCCCAAATTTCCAAGGTCCCAAATTCCCAAGGTCCCAAAGTCGCAAGGTCCCAAATTTCCAAGCTTCCCAATTCCCAAGCTTCCCAATTCCCAAGCTTCCCAATTCCCAAGCTTCCCAATTCCCAAGCTTCCCAATTCCCAAGCTTCCCAATTCCCAAGCTTCCCAATTCCCAAGCTTCCCAATTCCCAAGCTTCCCAATTCCCAAGCTTCCCAATTCCCAAGCTTCCCAATTCCCAAGCTTCCCAATTCCCAAGCTTCCCAATTCCCAAGCTTCCCAATTCCCAAGCTTCCCAATTCCCAAGCTTCCCAATTCCCAAGCTTCCCAATTCCCAAGCTTCCCAATTCCCAAGCTTCCCAATTCCCAAGCTTCCCAATTCCCAAGCTTCCCAATTCCCAAGCTTCCCAATTCCCAAGCTTCCCAATTCCCAAGCTTCCCAATTCCCAAGCTTCCCAATTCCCAAGCTTCCCAATTCCCAAGCTTCCCAATTCCCAAGCTTCCCAATTCCCAAGCTTCCCAATTCCCAAGCTTCCCAATTCCCAAGCTTCCCAATTCCCAAGCTTCCCAATTCCCAAGCTTCCCAATTCCCAAGCTTCCCAATTCCCAAGCTTCCCAATTCCCAAGCTTCCCAATTCCCAAGCTTCCCAATTCCCAAGCTTCCCAATTCCCAAGCTTCCCAATTCCCAAGCTTCCCAATTCCCAAGCTTCCCAATTCCCAAGCTTCCCAATTCCCAAGCTCCCCAATTCCCAAGGTCCCAAATTCCCAAGGTCCCAAATTCCCAAGGTCCCAAATTTCCAAGGTCCCAAGTCCCACATCCCCAATTTCCACATCTCCAGTTTCCACATCCCCAATTCCCACATCCCCAGTTCCCATACCCCCAATTCTCAAAGTCTCAAATTTCCAAATCTCCAAATCTCCAAATATCTCAATTTTCAAAAAACACATGCATAATACAGAACGTAGTAAAGCCAGGGAATTTACTAGAACAAAAATCCCAGTTACGCCAATGGCCTCTCTGTGTACAAGCGAGAGAGCACTACCACATATCCCTTAAAAGCGCGCAGTCTACACAAGACCATGGGTCTTGTCCTCTTCCCGCTGTATTTCCCTCTTTCGAAATCTCTTTTTATGTCCGTTGGTTTTTCCTAACTAAGGTATATTATTACAGCGTGATGAAAAAGAATAATTCCCGTTATTTCCATTAATTTCTTTCCCGCTTGATTCAACATTCTCTTAATTTTATTCCCGCCAGAAATCGATTAACATTAAAAAATCACGGGTCTTCTTCTTCGCGAAGTCAACAGAGATGAAGTTTTAATTAATAATTCGAATAAATTAAATAGACCGCCGGGGCTCGGCTCAGTTTTCATCGAATAAACGCTCCGGGTGGGGGATTTTTAATTCCGGATGAAAGCAAAGTAACGTTTGTTAGCCTCTCGAAAGAAACGGTATTAATTAACGAAATGGTGGTCCATTCGCAAAACGAGTTTCCGTTTGTATATATTACCGTGAAAGATTCGATATAAATCGACAGCGATATTTAAAGACTGCTTCAAAATTTCGAGCCTCAAAAATAGTACTCTAAGCGGATAAATATTTGCGATTCTTCTTTCCGCGAATTAACAACTTCCCGCGAAAATTAGCTTCGCAATAAGCATATTAGCGGACGCTACAATTGTAAAATTCCGATTAGAAAACTATCGATTATTCCTTCCTCCGAACGTTTAAACATTGCTCAAGTGTGTGTATTCTCCGATAAGATATAATCGTTTCGAAATCAGATTTGGTCAGCACAATCTTGGCGAGTCGGTGATGCATTCGCGTGCAATCTCGTGATGTGTGAATTGTCCGGCAGACGGCGGGAGCGACGTTTTTAACGGGCGCTTTAATACGAAGCCCATTACCAGCCTACTGTCAACTAAACACTTCATCTCCTCAAAGTGAAACACCAGCTGCGTGAGACGCTGTAAAAACGGCTGTCCGCTTGTGTTTCTGAGTCAACGTTCGCGGACAAACGAAAGAAGCGATGTGACTAACCGCGAGTGATCAAAAATAGTTTTATAGATAGTCGAACAGCCGACAGAACAGGACGCGTGTTTACAAAGAACGTTGTGAAATTTAAGCTAGGCGCGTGCATCGGCCGATGCATAATCGTATTAGATTCTTCTGTGACAATAGTTACCAGTTGTTTGAGCGAGATGCGCTGAGACTCGATCGGCTACGATGTTGTAACCGTGATCGTGCGCGTATGAAAATGTAATCTCTTTTCTCTGTGGTACTTAAATGTCTTGGAATACATGCTTTCTAAGATTTACTTGTTGGGTATGAATGGACAGGTGCAGCCTTCCAGGGAGAGGTTAGGTAGGTACCAAATTGTACGCGATCAGATGCGTGCAAATCGTTCTTCAATTTTACCATGTATGGACACAATGAACGCTCGTTGCTATTAGTCATGCTGCTTTAAGCAATCGTTTAGTATTGAGGATTAATTTTTTCCTTGTACATCGTTTCTTGTAAGTGATTCAGAAGATATAAATCATTTCACTTTTAGGAGGTTTCACAAACAGTACAATAGGATTGTTCTCTGGAATGGTTGCTACGGATCGTATTCCAAATATACAGTTAGCTAATACGAATAATGGACTACCCATGGATGATTCCAGTACTACGACTGAGGTTGACGGTAAAGTGAAAACGAAATTATTGTCTATGTGGAATAACGTTAAATATGGTTAGTATAATTAATGTGATGCATCAGTGGATTACGAGGAATACTAAGTTGATACAATTATTTGCAAGGCTGGACCATTAAGATGGTAAAACCAAACTTTTCTAAAGAATCTCCAGTATGGTTGCTTGGGAAAATTTATCGTAAAAAGCCGGAAGAATTTTTGGAGAAAGCTTCAGAAGCGGAGAAAACATTGGACACTGGAAGTGAAATATCTTTAGCAATGGATGCTATTAGTTTCGAAGATAGTATAGAGGAATTCAAAAAGGACTTTACGTCCCGTCTATGGTTGACGTACAGAAGAGAATTTCCCATATTAAATGGTTCCACGTTTACCACCGACTGTGGCTGGGGCTGTATGTTACGTAGTGGCCAAATGATGTTGGCACAGGCACTGGTCTGCCACTTTCTTGGAAGAGGCACATATTCTTTTTATAAATTTTTGCTAGAAGTTTAATAATATAATTATGAATATATGTTTTTTAATATGTATTTTTTCTGTAGAATGGCGATGGCAACCGGATCAACCAATAAAAACAGAACAGCAAAAATTAGATGAAAGTAATCACAGATTCATTATACAGTCATTTGGAGATTTACCCGAACGTATATCTCCATTTTCTATACACACGCTTGTGTCTCTTGGTGCTTTATGGGGAAAACGTGCAGGAGATTGGTATGGACCTTCTTCTGTTGCTCATCTATTAAGTCAAGCGGTAGAACACGCAGCTGAACACCTTCCAATATTTAGTAATTTGGCTGTTTATGTTGCTCAAGATTGTGCAGGTAATACGGCAGTTCAGTCGTGATTGTGTTTCAAATTTCCGTTCAATTAATTTTTATATTTACTTTTAGTTTACCTGCAGGACGTAGAGAGTGTATGTCAAATGCCCGATGGCAAATGGAAATCTCTTATCCTTTTTGTACCTTTAAGACTTGGTACTGATAAATTAAATCCCGTTTATACATCCTGCTTAACGCATTTACTTACATTAGATACCTGTATCGGTGTTATCGGAGGTCGACCCCGGCATTCTCTTTATTTCATTGGTTTCCAGGAAGACAAATTAATTAATCTAGACCCGCATTATTGTCAAGAAACTGTAGACGTATTAAAAGATAATTTTCCTCTGACAAGTTTTCATTGTACTTCACCGAGAAAAATGTTAATTTCCAAAATGGATCCCAGCTGTTGCGTGGGATTTTATTTTCACGACAAAAATCAGTTTACTAACTTTATGGAAATTGCCCCTTCCGTATGTATGACTGTCCCCCTTTAGATACCGAACGCGCTATAAACAACGTGGTAAGCCAATGAGTGTATTTTTGACATTGCAGTACTTGGTGCCAGAAGATGAAAAGGTCGACTATCCGATGTTTTTATTCTGCGAAGGAAGCGGAAAAGATCTTCATCAGCAGATCGAAATTGCAGAAACGATTCCTTCTACTACCTCTTTCCCAGGTAACGAAACATATGATGACGATCTAGACGAATGCGAAGAATTTGAACTGGTACAGTAAGATGTTTGTCACAGCATACTGTGTACTTAAAGGCATTCATTGATAATTTTGGAGAAAAATGATAATGTTAACCATTAATCAGAATTCTCCGTTCATTCGTCCATACATAATGTACAAGGAAGAAAACCAATTGGTGACTTCAGCAAGTAGAACTTTTCATTAAAATTGGACAGTTAAATGTTATTTTCTTAAATGAATTTATGCCGCAACACGATCTGCAAGATCTCAACGTACTCGTTGAACGACTGACGTGGATTAAAATATATCGAATACTTTCGGGTCGCGGTGGTACAGTCGCGTGTAACTTAGGCTTCCTTTAGATACAAGATGTAAAGAAAGTGTTACCCACTTATCGTGTAAGGATTACATATCCTAGGTTAGACTTTCCCTAGTCGCTAAGTTTCGCTTAGGATTTCTCTAGATACTCCTTACACCTTAGATTCTAATTAGGATCTCCCTAGATTCTCCTTAGATTTTTTCTAAGGAAGGCTCTTAAGCTTTCTCTAATGTTTAAACGTTTCCTAGACTCTGTTTAAGATCTTAAGTTCTCTCTAAACTTTCCCCAAATCCTAGTAGCTGGTAGAAAGCTATTCCTCCTGTACTTAATCTTAGCTAAAGGAAGCCAGCGTTGCACCTGAGTGTACATCTATATTAGATGGTTATATAGTCTTATAATAATTCTGTGATTATAACTTGATGCGGCTTTTCTATTGGAATTGTTTTGTTGCACAATTTTCATTAACTTTATTTGTTGATCTCAGAAAAATGAATCATTGCTTGTAATAACAATTTAGGAAATTAATTTAATGTACAATTTAGAATGGTATTTATTCTTTTTCATCGATGATAATCGTGTGTAGACTTGCGTAGATCGTAAGTTGACGATTTTTTGCTATGAAACGTAATTTTTTATACATATATATATCTCAATTCCTTTACGGAAATGTTCCTGATATAACTTATTTTATAATACCAGCAATATTAAATTTCCGTCTAGATTAAACATGACCGTATTTCAATTTGTCCTTGAATCAGATACGCGTGCGTGTGAACAGCACACGCGTATTTGTATATTGAACCGTATCTACCTGTCATAATATTTAAACCCGAATTAATTTATGGTTTACGTAATAAATGTTTAACTTATTTATTTATTATTTAATGTATTAATCTTTGCCTTGGATAATCGTTATCGAACTTATACTAAGTTCCCATGCTTGCATCATTACGTTCGACATAACGTTTTATGTTATGAAAAACAAATGTATAATTAACAAACATATATCGTATTAAGATATTGTTACTATTAAATGGAAAAAACACTATGACTTGGTTTTCAAAAGGAAAGAAATGTGAGCATGATATATCATGTATATTATACTCTCATATTGTTTAAACTCTGTACAATTGAAAATTGTTAAAATTCTTATATCGGTACAGTTAAAAATAAACACACCAAAAAACTAGAAGAATTAAGTTTTAACGTTTATTTCCTATTTATCATTACAAGTACATATATATGTCTTTTCATTTAAAACAGTATAAACAGAATACATTTCAGTACACCATTATAGAACATTAACAATATCTCTCACCGACTCACAATCGGTCCTCAACATATTTGATCCCTTTTTATTACGCTATCAACAATGTTTTATAAATGATTTGTATAAAATATAACAAATTCGAACAAGTCGTCGCTCAACTTTTATAAAATATTCGTTCCCCTACCGTGTAATAAGTTTGTCAAATTTCATTCAACAATATTTAAAAATAAAAGTGACAATATAAAACCAAATGATATGTACAAAACGAAGTAAAAATTGTAACTCTTTGTACTATATCGAGGAAAAGTATTTAAATTATGATTCAATTGTTATACATACACAAAAATTGCAGAAAAATATATGGATCAATCCCACATTTTTTTGTCCACCTAGTCAGTTCATATCTGTGCGTATACAAACATAATACTAAATCTTAAGATACAATTACCTTGTAAGAAAATGTCTATTGATTAAGTTTGAACTAATTCATAATTGATTATGCATTATAAGCCATTTTGCATAATATCCAGACTCACAACTTTGACATAAAATCTGTTATAGTATTTTTTACGTGTGGCCACATTTCATCAGTAGTATTCCCACTGAAGTTTTTCAGAATTCCTAGTTCGCCGTAGTATACCAAGAGGGGCTTAGTTGCTTTCGCATACCTTTCCAGTCTCTCCTGTACAATTTCTACCTTGTCATCCTCCCTTTTGCTCAAAGGCTCACCAGTTACATCGTCTTTGCCCTGAAAGACAGACAAAATACTACTGTACCAGTTTGAAAGTTTTGAAGTATTTACAGAAAACTGAAGACGTCACTGAAGATCTAATTATGAAGTACCAGGCACTCTATCAAAGATATATTTATACTATCCGTTTTTACTTACCGGCACCTTTGGACTGTTGAACCCAACGTTATAAACTCGTCCGCTGGGTAAATGAACCCACCTGTTTTTCACACGATTCAATATCACGTCGTTAGGCACGTCAAGGTAGAGTACGAGATTCACAGGATGCGATTTTTGTAATTTTTTCGCCTGTTCTAGCGTTCTTGGGAATCCTGTACCAATGCCAATTATTTATTTCAAATTTAGTTGCTGTTGCGTAGCTGTCATACGCTTCATGGCCACGGTACAGATATCGAACGTTTCGACCGGATTTACTCACCGTCCAGCAGCCAATTTTCTTGTCCGACCGCTTCGATTTCTTTAGTTATTAATGAGATCATTACATCATCCGGAACGAATTTACCAGAGAGCACATAATTCGATACTGCTTTCCCCAATTCTATATCGTTTAAAATTCAAATATATTCATCGTTAATTTCGTAACGTATTGAACTTTGAAATGAATGATACAATTCATAAATAGCGTTGACGGATCTTTCCAAGAGCTACTTTTATTGTCGAAATACAGGGTTAGATTTGTCTTATCGTTTTTTATTGTAAAAGTGTAGAATTAGTGCGGATAAGCGGGGCGGATGTACTAGTATTAAGCTAATGATCAAACTGGTAATAGTGGCTCGATTAAATGAAGGGAATTTATATCTAAATACACTCGTGCAACATAGATTTCATAGAGAGGAAAGATCTGTATTTTTCAATGAAAGACTACGTTGCACGCGACTATACATGTATCAATAATTTCGTGAACCACGTGGGTTATTCGAGGCTATAAACGCCGGCAGAAATAACGGTTGTAACACAGCAAATAAAACATTTGAATGTAATTCGAACCGGATGTTGAAACATTCAAATGAATATTTATAACCGGACGATGTTTTATACAGCAGGTATCGTCTAAATTTATATCAAAATATATATAAAGAGTTCAATAAACAAGGATAATTTTAACCTGTTAAAGAACATCGAAGAAACAAGCGTTCTTCAAGTTGTGTTTCATGAAATAAATCATCTGGAAGAGTACTTTTCATAGCAACATACCTAAAACCGAAAAACGTTTTTGACAAGTCTAATTGAGAAAATCGTGATTAGCAGAGATTTCAATCCGAGGCTGACGAAATGATTCGACGATGTGAGGGTTCCATGGGTTTGGACGTACCAGTATTGCTGTTCATATGAAGGCGTAACTTGTCACCGCTAGATATGTGAGCCACCTTAAAATGTTCGACAATTCGAGCGGACATTGTGCCTTTGCCGGAAGCTGGGGCGCCCATTATCACGGCCCTGAAGGCCGCAGCCTTGGCACACCACGTGGATAGTGCAACCATTGAAACGTCACTTTGAGAAACACAGTAGAAAAATTAGTCAATTGTTTCGGTTAATCTTCTTGCGTTTCCTTTCAACGCTTATACCCGAATGCAGCGGTAACTACAACTCTTCTGACACAAAACATGTTACTGTATCTATAACGATTGACCTGTGAACCATGATGGCGACCAGTTACAGTCTCGGTAGATAATTGCTCGACCAATGAATGTTACAGTCTAGTTTTTTTACCCTCTCCGGTTGGCTGTCTTGTGATAATTCAAAGGCAGCGTGCATGTGTTGCAATCTGGTATGCGATTGCAAAATTCTTTTGTTCGCACGTAAGAGTTCAATAACCGTGGACTATGTTCGAAAGATTTATGATAGGATATGTGGGTGATAAGAATGGAACGATCTTTTATTGACAAAGTAGCACTTTTATTCATATGAAAAAGTAATACAACATTAGGGCCTGTGCTCATCTTTTTTCTTGTATCTCTTCATTTTTTTATATTTTATTTTCAAAGGCGTATATAACGAGAGAACTAGAGAAGGCCTTTTTCCCATTTGGACATCTTACAAGTTCTATGTAACAATAGATCAAAATTACAAATTGTGAAAATCTCGCTGGCAACGAAAGCCTGTCACTGTGTACTACAGAGTAGTAACGTCTTTCCGTTTACAAATTTGCATTTATATTATTAATTCTGATGTTTCCTTTCTTTCCTAATTTATCGATGACTTAAAACAATGTACAATTTATATTATTAAAACCATTTTGTGATATTGTGTACCCCTTTAAAATATATATTTATAGATCTTTGTAATCACGAGCTATCATTTGTGTATCTTAACATTCTCGATTAACACTAAGCACCCAAAACGTTTGTCAACGTGTCGCAAGTTTGATCAAATGCAGTTGAAGCTTAACCTGAGCCTAGTGCTACCTGGGGTCTGTACTTATAACATATTTCTTAGTTTTAGAAAGACTGTATTTAAATTCATTTTCCTTATCATTGCTTCCCCATTTTTTATCGGATCGTTTCAAATGAACGTTCGTAGTTGTCAGGAAGACCACTAAGAACATATTGAAAGTGCCTTTACCGCGATATATCTTTTGCTTCTGGACAAAGATAAAAACCAAAGAGCGAAACATTTACTTTCTTAAACTATAACTTGGGATTAAACTTTAATAAAGATAACACATGAATTGTCGCTGTTATATCTCATTTCAATCCACGGAACAAAAACGTAATAAGAAAGAAATGTATTATCCATATTTTATCTAGTGAAAAAGACTTAAAAATTCGTTAGCTCTTCTTAGAATGGTGCACACGTTAAGTGCTCTGAATCTGTACGGTATGTAAATGCGTGTTGCCTGTGTTACGCGTGGTATTCTCTAAACTTATGAAGGTAAATAAAAGGATCAACAAAAGTATTTGATCCTTTACCACAGCTCTCCATCCTTTTCCTTCGCTGGAACTTCGATCACTCGTGGCTTATCGATTATTCTAGCTGTGCGATTTCCTTTTTCGACGATACCAATAATCCATGCTTGGTATCCTTCCTGCTTTTCGATATCCTTACAATACGCAGCAGCCTGAAACATATTTGTGAACCATAAATACGTGGCGAACTAACTAACATTATGTATTATATTAAAAATGAGGTGTAAGAGAATTGACGACACCAAAGTGATATGGTCACAAATTGGTATGGGTATCTCTGTTGCTCTCCCTGCCTTTCTTTAGAGTATACCATTTTGTTTGTAATATACTCTACTGTATAAACAGGGTTTACGACGGACCAAATAAATCGTTACCAACCTGTTCCCTCGGTAGGCAAATAAGCAGTCCACCGCTGGTTTCTGCTGAATGGCCTTGTAGGAGTTGGAACATGTTACCGCAAGCTTTCGCTACAGCTGCCATTTTCGCGATAACAGGTAAATTATGGATAACAAAGGAGACTTCGTTCTTCTGGTGTTTGGCTAGATTTTGTGCGTGTCCCAAAAGACCAAAACCGGTAACATCTGTTGCCCCGTGTGCATTATACTTATGCATTAATCTAGCAGCTATTCTGTTAAGCCTGGCCATACTGTCCATCGCTCTCTGATAAGCTTTCCTCACGTCATCTTCGCTAACTACAAGTTTAATTCTATTCCAACGATCTGGTTGGTCTAACCATTGGTGAGCATTAACAGCAACTTGAGTTCCAAGAGGTTTTGTCAGTACAAGGACATCTCCCACAACTGCATTGTCTGGCCTAAAAATTAGAGATTATTATCAAGAGACACGTGAAACAATTAATACCTAAAATTTGTGGGAAAACACATACACAATGTATTCATTTGGTTGGCAAACAGTGGAAGCCACACCTCCTATCGTACACCAAGGATTAACAACTGTCTGACCTCCTGTAACTGTTGTGCCAGCTTCCAAAGCAGAATCTTTAAAACCTCTCATGATCAAAGGAACAACAACATCTCGTTCTTTCTCAGTCATTTTTGTACTGACTCCCAGCAACATTAACATGTTATCACATTCAGTGACACCCATGGCATACAAGTCACTGATAACATTAGCACACGCGATTTTACCTGGAAAAGTACTCCAATAGCTGTGGTCAAACAGGATGTACAATACATTTTGTATTACTTCCTTACTGAAGGAAATATGAAAGTTAATCAAGTCAACTATATATGTTAATAAAAAACAAAAACTGAAAGTAAATAAAACAGAGCATCTTTAATTTGGTTCAAGTGCTACACTGTTTATATCTTACCCATCATATAAGGATCATCGACTAGTGGATAAAAGAAGTCTGTAGTCTGCACCAAGCTAAGCCCCCCGTGCCTCAGTGGAGTCACGGAGGAATCCATGCCAATGCCTGGAACATAGAAATATAAATTTTATTTAATACACAAAAATATATTATGGGTGAAACAATTTTTTAATTGTTAATATGTAAATTCGGAAATTTTTAATTTTCATGTTCTCAAATTTTTAAGTACATAGAATTTTTAAATCCCCAAACATGAGCGAGTGGTGGGGGTCTCTCTCCTTTACGTCACCATTTTCCCTAGGAGAGCTTACTCTGCTCGCCACTGTACATCGCTAAATCTTAAGAAGTTGAGAACACTCGTATTTCCGGTGGCGTGGGAGAAATCGGGCGGGAGGCGATAATATGGCTGCTGGTACAATAGGACTGACTATTGCAATATTGTGCCCTAGGTACTAACAGCAAACTTATTTATTTGCAGTGAAATTGTATTTTAGTAAACAATTCCATAAAAGCATGCTTTCTAAACTTGAATAGATAAACTTTAATCTTATCGAGTCCCGCTATAAAAAGACGAAAAAATTTACACCGGCAAAGTTCCTATAACCAATAACAGTGTTTCTAACATTATCTTTCCTATTAAAAAAGATTAGTTAAAATGTTGAAAAAGTATTCGAACTACAGACAAACTCGAATACTTTTATCACTAAAAATAAGACGAGAATCAATATGAGAAAAAAAAATGCGAGAAAACAAAGACGCGGCAGAAAATCAAAGATGTCGGCATACAAATGTCCGTGCACGCGCACAATAAAAGCAATCACTCACCGATGCGTGGAATGGCCATGTGCATAAAATGGGCATGCTCATGATCTTGTGCGCTACCATCGTCGGCCTGTAGTCCCTCAAGGAGTTTACCAAGAACCTCCTGAGGGACTTTACACCCTCATCCTTTTAGGTCGGCGAACCGCGTAAGGCGGAAGGTCGCGTCGAGATCATGTGCCACCGGGTCAAACGGCCTACGCAAAGCCAAGGCATTCGGATTCCCACCGAGTTCTAACTGGGCTACGGACAGGGCGTCCTGTGCGACCGGGGTTCCCTGTAATTCCGCCATCTTGCTAGAACCAAACTACCGAGTACCGACGAGCCGGGTACGCGACGCGTTTCGCGGCCCTGCGACAACGGCTCTCTTCCAACGGCTTCTTCGATTCTTGCGCGTATCTACGAGTAGCAGGTTCTCACGCTTGCCGCTCGCGCTCTCTGTTGCTCCCGCTCTATACACCGTTTCACGAACGCCGCAGACAGACAGCCACTGGCTTCGTAACCCTTACTACCGGTAACGCGAACTCGTCGCAAACGGGAATTATACCTTGCACCGGCGTCGACTACCCGGGATCGTACGTACTGACAAAATGGACGCGCCTCCAGGTTCTACGGAATCGGAAGAACGCGCAAGGCCACCAAGAGCCCCCCCAGTGCCCCTACCGTGTCACTGCTTTATTCTGATTGGTCTTTTCGAATCCACGCAAGCGCAGTCGACACTACCGCTCAGGTACGTCTTCACCATGATGCTGCACCCGTGTTTGCATTGCACGTATGCGCCCCCGATTCGCGAACCGGCGCGACAAGTGTGCCCTTGTGACGCATATACGCTTTGCTCTTGATAAGTTCGACCAGTGACTAGCAACACGGTTCTCTTAGTCATCCACAGATTAGTCGTTGAAAATGAAACCTATTATTTCACTGCACTCTATTTCATATGCAATATACAAACCTCTACCAATAGATCTAAAATTTAATTTCTATATCAATTTTCATATTTCCTTTTGCAACAGCTTCTTGGTACACTGAAAATGATATATTTTTTCGTTCTCAACCGAGTAAGAACGAATTTTTCTGTCAACGAAAATTCGAATATACGCCAATGAAAGTACAATCTGATTTAAAATTCTTTCGTACACGGTTGCTTAAGTGACAGGTAAATAACGAGGATGAGTGTGTACAGTTTTTTTATTATTTATCATACAAAATTTCTTATTCTCATATTTTTTATTTTGTGTCTGCAGAGAAATAGTCGAATCTTTTAATGCTAGGCACGCTCGGTTTTTATTAGTTTTTTGTTCGTTCAAATATCCCGCGTTGTTGCGATCTACCAGTCATGGCTCTACAGTGGTTCTCAATCATGAACCAATATTTGAACACGTCATTTTATTCATTTTTCCTCAAATTCTTTCGCGAACATTAGCGAAGCAACGAAAATAGTAGGTGGCGACAAAGAGTGACAATACGTTTTCGTTATTCAGTCTTGCAATTATTTGTGTTTCACTATATCTTTGTTCTGACATATCTTGCTACATACTATGAATAATTACAGGAAATTTGTTTATGCATTGTAATGAAAGTGTGCGTCAGGCCTTAACACTATTGTAACATTAAATTATTGTATCTTATTATATAATATACTAAACTGGCGCGCAGTTTATTACTTTCCCGCGCAAATCGTGGCGGAAGTTCCTTTCCACACGTTCTACCTCATTAAATATACTTTACATAATTAACATATTGAAAATATTTCACATTTATCAGCATCGTTATAACGAAACGATCCTGCAAACTCATTCCCCCTCTTCATCCTGCTGGATTTTCATTACAGAACTAGGAGCGTCGTTCTCTATAGACATTGATTCCTTCCCGTTTAATATCTTTACTATCAAACTCAAGACGGATATTTTAAAAGTTCTTTTCTCGGGACTAGTCATTTGGTGAATATCCGGTAATATGCTCTTCAAGAACAACCAATCCGGGTCATTGAACGCCTCCTCGAGTTCTTGTCTGTTGCTTAAGATGTAATTTTCCGGCGACCTTTGTGACAATAACTTATCGTTTGTAAATTTGATCGCTTTGTTCCGCAAGAATGAGTGCTCTTCGATCCTTGAGTCGCTTTCCTTATCCAATAGCGAAGTCTTTTGATCGAATTTGTTCGATTTCTCGTAACTGGAAGATATGTTTGAGGCCACCTCCTCGTCGTTCCACGTCTCCTGTGCCAGCGTGTCCTCCTCGTTCGAATTGTCTTGTCTGAAAGCACAGAAAGATAAATTTTTTTGTGCACACGTATACAACGTAGGCTTCCTTTATTTAAGAGTAAGTGTAGGGGAGAACCTTCCGCTATGTGTGTTGGGAACCTAGGGAGAGCTTAGGGTAGCATAGGGAGAATCGTGGGAGAACCTTCTATTCTTGTCATACAGAACCGCGTGGTGGGGCACTCCTTCCCCTACGCTTCCTGAAAACTAAGGGAAGCCTAAACTACACGTGATCATATTTCAGTAAACGAAGGATCACGTGATCCGTTACTAATTTACGATCGCGTTTTACAGTCACCTGCCAACTTTACTGTAGGGAAGCAGGAAATCCATGTAACTGGCCATGTAATATGGTTTCTTGGACTTTGAATTTCCCGAGATTTTATTTCTCAGGTGTCTACTGTAACTGGCACGCAGATTTTTCCACTTGTCTTTACATTCTGCCGCTACGAGGAAAACTTGCGCGTGTAAATATGTATGCTCGTATATCTTTTTAACGAAATCTACAATATGTTTGGAAAGTTAAAAGGATCTTACCGGTAGCGTTCACCTCTTGCGCCACTGCTTTCCACATTTTATTTCGTACGATTCTGTTGTGGTAGTCATTGCAACTGAGGTCGTACAGTACTGGGTACTTTTTGACCGTTAGTACCAAATTTATGTAATCCCTCGTTTCGTCCATTTTTTCCTAAATAAATAAATGTTTTAGCTATAGATTTAACACATAAAATTCTGTGTAAAAATAAAACGTTTAAAATGTTCATAGTTGAAGTGAAACTTTTATGGGCGCGATTTGGCGCGGAAGCGTTACGGCTGATCGTTAAATTTGAACGTCACGAAAAATGCAAACAAATTCTCAAATTTCCATATTTAACAATTTATGATTTTCCCAAAGGCAAAATTTATACATTTTCAAGTCTTTTTATTCAAAATTTCAGTTTCACTTCTAACGCGCGTAGCCACCGCGCATACACTATATTTTTAAACGTTTTAATCATCGCTGATTATCAAAAGCCCAATTATCAGGGGAATAGCTCTTACATTACTACGAATTAGTTGCTAGTTTACGTTCATTGCTCCACTGCCTGTGTCGCGACGTTCATGTCATTGGAAGTTCGCAGACACGCGACGATTGCAAACATTTTTGGTATCACTTTCACGTGTTCTGCTATTTACTATAAATCGATTGTCATAGTTTCTGAACATTGAACAATAATAGTGACACTACGACACAATGCGTAAAATATGATACGTGAACTGTTCGATAACAGAAAGTTGTCGCGTCACCGACAAAACATCATGTCGTCTCGCGTCTGCCATGCACAGGACCATACACGGTATTGCTGAGCCCCTGTTCCATCTTATATATCATAAACTTTGTATCGCCGTTGCTAAGTGAATACCAAGTTACATCCTAAGTAGTGTCGAACGTTGCACATGAAAAGTTCTGTACAAGAACTGACCAATAGGTACCTGCATAAAGAAATACAATATTTTACGACCGTCTATATTGCAGTACGGTCATGTAGAGATATTTTTAACATTCTTGTGACCGGAATAAAGATATATATACGCACATACTTTTAGCAATGTCGGTTTCTATATTATCCTCATGCGATAGCAGTAAAGATCTTCAAATAGCTAGCACAACTTTTGACTTCATAACTAACTGCATTCATTATTTAGCAACAACGTATGCATTTATTCCAGTGTCATTTTTTTATACTTTTTAATTTTATGTCAAAATTCGTTGTGAAAGTCAGTGTCCTCTAGTGGTAGACGATGGCATTAACGAATGGAAAAGCTGCGTGTTACCATCAGATGATTTAGAGGAAGTTGTAGAGTTGGAGAGGTGGCCGAGTGGAGGCGCTGGCCACCATTATGTGAACCATAGAGTATGGTGAAAGCCGAGCGCGTACGATTTGACACGATTTGCTCTGAGTCGATCGTGTTTCGTAGTTGTGCTCGGGCCAGCGAGCAAGTAACGTTGATGTTGGTACTCTTCGCCGTTCGCGAGCGTCGTTTACGATTTTCATTCCGATTTCTTGGTGTACCACGATCGATCGGTGCCGGAATGACGTTCGTGGGATCTCCTCGTTGAATGAGAGTCCTCGTGGAAGGGTAGCTAACGACAGCCGTCAAAGATGATGCAGGAAATCAGTGACCAATCTTCCAGGACAGTTCTCCTGAATACTTTCGTGGTAAAGAAGAAACGGTGCAGGGTCTACTTTCATCGCGGAACGCTGATATGGGAAACGGAGAAACCACCGTACAGTAAGTCTTGTCGCGTACTGATGCCAACGATCGTTACTGTTAGGGAAAGGGTTCGGGCGAGAAAGCGTTGTAAAGCGGCCTCGTATCAGCAAAGATCAATCGCGTTTCCGCATCTCTCGCGGTTCGAAACAAAGGAATAGTTGCTAGTCGCGTTATTACCTCGCTGGGAATCCGCGACGATCGTGATCTTGGCAATTTGAACATTAGCATGCAATGTTGGCTTTCTCTAAATAAACAAGGAAGAATCTACCACCACTTTTAATACAAAAAATTTATTCACATCTTCAAACTCCTAAAATGTTAAAATTCTCATATTCGTAAAGGAGTGGTGGAACCTCTTCCCCTATGTCTACATTTTTCCTACGGCCTACTCGGTAAAGTATAACGCGGATCATTTTGCAGAGGAAAGTAAATGTATGAATAATAGTAATATTCATATTTTTATTCATAATACAATTGCAATCAACACAAGTATATTGCATTACAATCGATGTGAAATAATAATAATAAAAATAACGTTAAGTATACTGTTATTTTGACTAACTTCATTTACCCGGCGAACATCCACGATCCTTAGTCCGTGACTAGCTGTTTAGCCAATGTATCTAAGTGTTTAAGCGTGCGCGATAGTTGAAACAAAAGTGTTGCGATAACTGACACACGATCCGTTAATTACACCCGATTTAGAAATAGTTAACGTCTAGGTGGGCTCCGCACGATAATGCGTAACGCGAACATTGGAATTCGTACGCGGTTCTACTGCAGTGCAGTGTCCATTACGGCGACGTCAAGACGTCAAATTCTGAATGTAGTATTTGTTTATTCATGCTCTAGGCTATAGCCGTCGTTTACAGAGAACGATTCAACGTGATCGAATTGTTAAAGTGCTAAACGATCGAGATTAAAATAAACCCGTCATTGGCTGTTTGGAAGTCGTAAGCGATCTATGGGTACTTTAAAAGCTACGAGTTTTTGGTAGTTAGTTCTAACCTCGAAATTTAACTTATCACAAGTTATCAATGTTTGTATCTACGCGTGTCGATTAACAGTTTATCAAATTGCCATTAGTGATCAATTTAAAGCACCAATCTCTTATGATATCTAATTTTTTAATCCACATAAAGGTATTATTGGTCAACTACGGTCACACGTTTACGCGACTTGAGAATCTGAGTGCTGAGTTTGCATTATACGAAACTGTAATTCCAGGTTGGTGGCGTAGTACTTCCGGTTTTGCGAAGGTACATATCATTATGTCAGAAATCCTACACGGAACATTGGTTGTTAAGGAAGTGTCGATGAAGCAGTACGTTTTTATGAGAAATTTAGTTGTCGCTTGAGGCGGTCGATTTTTTATTTGAATTTCGCGCTATCGCAAGCGAAGAATCGTCAAACGTCAAACCGTTTCATAACGTCACGAGTATACTAATTATCGATAAAAGTTGATGGATCATGCAAGGAAATTACCGTAACAGTTTTCCCGGGTATTCATTATACAACCGTGAGATGATTGCGTCTGAAATTAAAAAAAACGAACGATCAAACGTTCCTGATGTAAGTTAACTTGTCATTTATTATACAACTTTCTTTTCTGATTGATCATTTCGATGGTTGAACGATCGACGAATAAGTTTTTCAATTATCGTATCAATCGATAAAAATTGATATTGAAAACGTTATCTATGCGATAATGTTTAATTATCATGTACCTTTATTCTTGTTATCGTTCTTATTTTGGATTCTGCATTTATTTTTTCTTTCTCTTGAACAGGTTGTTAACAAGGTAGAAGAGTACTTAGGAGTAAGAAAGGATAATAGAAGAGAAGTTCGTTTTCGCTGACGGAAGTGATTGACACGTTGACAAAGAGATAAAGGAATTGTCGATAGTCAATACGGTTTTCTCTTTAATATTCAATATAGTAATACACGGAACGAGGAACCGGAATCGCATGCAAATGGAACTCAAGGACGCGCGTTTAGATACATATGTTTCTGCTTCTACGTGAGCCGATCACCGAAAAACTTATCGGTATTCCATGCAGGCCGCGCTATCGATCGCGCATACAATGTATTGAAAAAGTATTGGTAATTCTTTCATCTTGATGTGCATTCTGTTGATAACTATTATCCATCTCAAATTACTTATCAGATTTAAGTGAACAACATTCTTGTCATCGTTATCTGTCATTTATAATTGTAACCATATATTACCAAGAAATTGGTGCTGGTCAAAATTGATGTACAAAAATTAATTAAGAATACTCTACCAAGTTCATCGATTTTTTCCAACAGTAATGCACTTATCAAGCTTACGTAAATCGAATGCATGCAAAAGTGAAACTTGCAAGTAGCCATGTATTATACCTACATGTACTTTGATATAATTTATGCGAGTGTCCTCATTACGTAATTTCTTTTGGCCCGAGTAAACAGCTGTTCAAAAAAATGTAGGAAAAAAGAAATTCCTTCCAGTCTAGCCGGTTAGGCGTCCAGTTCGATCGCGGTTTGGCATTCGTCCCAATTGACTCTACAACGCGCGACAAGTATGCCTCGAATATTATATTTGGAGCATCCTTTATTCCTTGCGTTTCATTTTTTATCGCATTCTTTTTCTTGCAGTATTTACCGCCGAGTTCGACCGCTTAAAAGAAAATGTAACGAGCGTGTACAAATAGATGTCTTGGACTATTGATTTTGGTAGAAAGGTCAGATGCGAGGAACGAGGTTTAGTTGATGATATCTGGAGCATGGTGTAGTCAAAGAAAAAAGTCCTTCAAGAGTTAACTCGAAGATTAAATGGAGTTTATCGATCGTCGGCTTTTGAACTCCTGCTTTCATTAACTTTTTGGAGACTCTTAACACTGAAACTACTGGGATATTTTTAAATTAAAGACGATGTTGTATACATGAATTCTTTATATAAATTTTAAGTACCTTGACAAATTATGTTAGTTAAAATATGAAATTTGTACAAGGATCATTTGGTAGTTTTACTGTTAAAGAGTGGTTCCAAGAGGTTATTTTAATTCAGACTTAGCTTTGAATTTGAGTGTACAGAATTTTAATTTGAATTTAGTTTTGAATTTGAATGTACAGAATTGTTAATTGGATGGATAATTATAAATTTGCTGCGGTCTTTCAGTTCAGAATATTCCAGTTTCAAAAATTTTAAACGTATAAAGTTGCAAGATCTGATGCATACCAAATCGAATAGCTTTGAGTTACTAAACTCGTTTAGCATTCCAACTTTTGCTTACGCAAGCAATTCTTGCTGATTTTGCAAATTTTTGCACACTTCGATAAAAATTATTCGCGTACACGAGATTAATCCCAAACACTCCAGAGTTCTACGTCAAAGCTTAATTGGATCGTGTGCACCATCCAATTTAATGGTTCTCCCAATTTACAGTCGACAACTAGCAATTTGCATGCGGACCTTTTGTCAATAGAACTCTCGGTGAATGAAGTATCTCTTTATAATTTCTTGTACACTTTCTTATATAAACCGGATGTTAATTGCGAAACACCTTAATCGTGAGATCGTCACGAGTCTTTGTTTTCTCACGAGGCGTTGGCTTATTTGCTTTCCGAAAATTTCGCAAGCGGGCTATCAAACGATTACGAGATTCGCATCGACCCATTTTCAAGAACTCTTGTTGACGTATCGTTAAACCAAAATAGCGGATATAGGTGGTTAGGAGGGACCGCAAATGTATCGCGTTTCAGAAAAATGTTCGAGAATAGAAAGAAACACGAAGTAGGCGGACAAAGTCGAAGTAGGAAGAACAACATTCGTATTAGTGGCACGACACGCGTCGAGCCTCGATTTAGCGGGGAGAATCCATAATTCCTCAGCGACACGAGCTCGTTCAATGCAGCCTGAATTTGTTCAGGTAAATTTAGGCGGTCCGGTCGTTCACACTGATCCTCTTCGCGAGACCCAGTCGGGTCACAAGGGATCCGAAGGTCATTAGATTCCACCTTACCTTCGATCCGCATCTTTGTCTCTTTATTTTGCTTCACGCTGCATTACACACCTTTCAACACACTTATTTTCTTTGCAGAGTCGGTGGCAAGTAGTGAAGTCTAAAGAATATGGAGAGCATAGAGGTCTTGGAAGAATTGTAGAACATAAGAATTTAGCAAGAGGAGATGTCTGAGAGTCTACGTCTGAGGAGAGAGATAGAAGAGTTGTCTGATAGTTTGAAACATTATTTAAATTAGTATTAATGTATTAGACAATTATATTATATTATAGAGAAAGAGAGATAGGTTATCTGATAGTTTCACACATTATTTAAATTAGTGTTAATGTATTAGACAATTATATTATATTATAGAGAAAGAGAGATAGGTTATCTGATAGTTTCACACATTATTTAAATTAGTGTTAATGTATTAGACAATTATATTGTATTATAGAGAAAGAGAGATAAGGGTTATCTGATAGTTCCAAACATTATTTAAATTAGCATTAATATATTAGACAATTATATTATATTCTTCAGGCATTAGTGTCTTTGCGACTTCATATATTTTCATGCAATAACTTGCTACACCTCTTTTGACACGTCCTCCATAATTACACAAGTATAATTACACAACTAACAAAAACTTCATTAATGAACGCTGTAAAAATATGTTAAGGAAGATTAAGAATGTTACAAACAACGACAAAAAGTTTCCTGGAAAACTTTTAATGAGATTCTAATGTAATCAAGATTTTCAGCGTCGCCTTTATAGTTTCCTTAAATTGTTTTTTGTTTGTCAGTTTAAGCGACCGGTTTCAGTGATTACTGTTCTCTCGAATGACCATACTCGTCGACCTTCGCTGATCACATTTATTTTCGCGTGTCTGCTAAATATGTATTTTTCGTTGGAGGCTACAGCTTCTACAAGCGACGATGTAAAATTGTACAAAGAGTCTTGTGAAAGGGAAAATCTCTTTAGGGATCTTTTCAGCAAAGACTCTTTAAAGGAAAATAATTGTAACTTGTGAGACAGTTTGTTAGAGTAAAATCTTTACATGTTGGGAAACCAGTTTCTTGTACACTCTGCTATTCGCTGTAATTATTATTCATTACCGTGGAAAAACGTTCATTAGAACCTATTTTTATCAGCGTAGGTTAAAAAGGAGGTTGAGCTGAATCCCGCAAGCGCTTAAAAACATGGCTTCTTTTTGAACTATCAGATCGTACAACGTCATTAGTATTGCGTGTAAAGAAGTATGTTAATCTTCTAAAATTATTTCACATATGTTCAATTATCAACTTGACTTTAACGTTTCCCGAATTCAGCATCGTCCGTTATCATTTCTGGCACGTATTTTCGAGCGCACGAACTTGTCGATCGTGACTCGACCCGCGTTCCAATCGCCCAATTATTTCCATCGAATTCGGCTAATATTAACTCCGACAAAACACCATTATCGACAACCAGTCTATGACAACTTCTGCCTTCCTATTCCGCCTTTGTAGATTTAATTAATCTACAAAGTTTTAATTAAAACTTCAACGAAGTAAAAAGTTGTTTAATTTTCAGCAAGATGGACTCTGCCGCTGACGGACGTGCTCGCAGTACGCTATGGAGACGATTGGATACCTGGCAACGTTAAAGAGAAACAACCTCCGACTTCGCCCACTTCCTCCACCGTGTGCCCGACAAATTTCATTTTACACTACGCTGTTCGTGGGCCGAAGATGAAATGGAGCCATCACAGTGTGACCATGAGCCACACGGACCCCAGGCAAGTTGCATCCTGGGTGAAAACCATTCGAAATTACCTCATGGGTGAGTTTCATGTAACCTTCTACCCTCTAACTTCTTTTAAGAAACCTTTACTTGTTAGTTAATTATCTATTTTTGGGAAATAGGTACACTGAGGTAGGAGTGCTAGGAGTCTGGAACCTCGTGTTTAGATTGGAGCCTTTCTTAGGAGTGTCTCAAGCTTAGGATCATTAGGATTGCAGCTTCTTCCTTTAGGATTGCAGCTTCTCCCTTTAGGACTGGATCTCAAGCCTTCTTCTCAGAATGCAAACTTTCCTAAACCAACCCTAAGAGTTTTCAATACTTCAAGGCCAAAGTTCTCCTTTCTATATATTTCATTGTTAAATTTTTCTTAGGAGTGTCTTAAGCTTAGGATCATTAAGATTGCACCTCGTCCCTTTGGGATCATCTCCTTCCTTTAGAATTGCATTTCCTCCCTTTAGGATTGGAGCCTTCTTCTCAGAATGCAAACTTTCCTAAACTAACACCAAGAGTTCTTAATACTTCAAGGCCAAAGTTCTCCTTTCTATATATTTCATTGTTAAATTTTTCTTAGGAGTGTCTCAAGCTTAGGATCATTAGGATTGCACCTCGTCCCTTTAGGATCATCTCCTCCCTTTAGGATTGCATCTCCTCCCTTTAGGATTGGAGCCTTCTTCTCAGAATGCAAATTTTCCTAAACTAACACTAAGAGTTTTCAATACCTCAAGGCCAAAGTTCCCCTTTCTATCTCATTGTTAAATTTTTCCCAGAATCCATATGTGGAATCTTTCCCTACATGGACCATACATTGTACCAAGTGAAATTTCGCAACGAATTTCACTTCTCAATCAATTCCTTTTCATGGTGAAATTCCCAGGTTTTCTTATTCCGATCAGTCGTTTCACAATCGAAAGATTGTCGAAGCAAAAAACGCGAAACGAAGGAAAAGTAGGTGAAAGTTGAACTTCAGCTTATACGTGTGCTGTTTCCTTTCTATTCGCGACTAGGGAACGGCTGAATAATTGATCCAGTATCGATCATTAAAGTCTGAGTAAATGTCGACTGGCATACTTAATCGAATCGATCAATCGGGCGTAGTTGAAAAGTAGACTTCGCAGCTTTCCACGACGTTGTTAAACTGTAAAACTATTTACAACTTCTTTTTTTAGTCTTCATAAATTAGTGGCAAACTTTAGATTCGATTGCTTTTAATGCGAAACAAGTTTGTGTTCAACCGGTTGGTGTCTCAATTTCGATTCAGCTGCAATTAATCCTCTTTCTATCGAGGCCACACCTGTTATTTGATTATGCGATTTATCGGTTGTATCATTTTCACGGGCTACAACTTTTAATTTCGCGTTCCTGCATTCGGTGGGGCGCAGTATACGAGTAGAAAGGATTAACGCGGTGGTGTATGATGAAAACTGGGTCGTCGGATCAAGGCTGCGTAACTAAGACCGCGTTTTTACTGCCGTGTAGAAAAAAAGATCAAAACCGTGGAAACACAGGCGACCTGCTTGGTAATAAAGCGGCTATACGGTTGCTCCGTTTCGTTTGATCGACACAGACACTTCAGCTATTCGTACGCCCACACGCGACACGAGATGGTAGCTTTGCCCATGACAAAACCTTACTTGAATCCGCACCTAAATAAATTTGCAAATGTTTAAGCTCGATAGGATCTTGACTAAATTTAACCTAAGTAAATTTGCCAATAAATGCTGGGAACTCTTTATGTAACCTCGCCGAAATGTAACCCAAACTTAGCCTGTAAATATTTCCTTTCACATGGTTTTTAAGGCCATTAGCCGAGTTAATGAACCTAGAAATAACCTAGATTCGCCGAGTCTTCAAATATTTATATGAAAGCGACTATGCAGAAAGTTTATCTGAACTTTATATCTGAACTAGTATGTCTCAAACTTAATTAGATTTGTAGATCATTTATTATATGAATGTGTGTTAAATTAGAAAAAACGATACCGTTCATGACAAAGCACTCTTTGTTTCAATCAATCAAAGTCATCCTCATGCGAGTTGTTTCCCCTTTAGAAAAAACAATGGGGAGTGGTTTGTTTTAGTGTGTGTAACATGATCCCTTGTATCGTCCTGTTGGAAGGACGACTACGGTATTGATCCGAGTCTCGCTCGATACATGTACGTTTCTCCGAAAAGCTAAAATAAATTCTTTAATTCTAGGACTAACCCATCGCCCAAGGAAGATATTGCTGTTCGTCAACCCTTTTGGAGGGAAGAAAAAGGGACTGAAAATTTGGGAGAAGGATGTACAGCCTCTGATGACCATAGCGGGGATTGAAACCAAAATGTTGGTCACTGAGAGAATTGGACATGCTCGTGATACGCTTCTAACTGCGGATCTAAGTGACTTTCATGTAATAAAACTAAACGTTATTAAATTAATTTTAAACATCAAAGTAGTACCAAGAAATAGTACATATTGTAAGAAGGTTCAAAGCAATTTTATTGTATGTGTTCAAATTAAGCTTCTTAAATATCTCACTGTTAAATAAGTTTTAAACATCAAAGAAGTACCAAGAAATAATATTGTATGTAAGAAGGTTCAAAGCAATTTTATTGTATGTGTTCAAATTAAGCTTCTTAAATATCTCACTGTTAAATAAGTTTTAAACATCAAAGAAGTACCAAGAAATAATATTGTAAGAAGGTTCAAAGTAATTTTATTGTACACGTTCAAATTAAGCTCCTTAAATATCTCACTATTAAATAAGTTTTAAACATCAAAGTAGTACCAAGAAATAGTACATATTGTAAGAAGGTTCCAAGTAATTTTATTGTACACAAATTAAGCTTCTTAAATATCACCCCTTCAGTTTGTCTTAAGAACTTCTTATACATGATATAAATCTCCCAACCTAACCCTAGATGCATCTTTCAGGCGGTGGTGTGCATCGGTGGAGACGGTACTCTCGCGGAAGTGATCAACGGCCTTGTGCTGAGGACCTCAAAGGAGCAGCAGATCGATCCCAACGACCCTGAAGTCTCTCTGCCAACCCCCTTGTTGCCTATAGGGGTGATACCCAGCGGGAGCACCGACACGGTGGCGTACAGTCTCCATGGGACGACCGACGTTCAGACGGCCGCGATACATATCATTTTCGGCGACAGTACTGGCCTCGATATCTCCTCCGTTCACAGCGATCAAACATTACTGAGGTTGTACGCTAGTGTACTTAGCTATGGCTATCTGGGTGACGTGATCCGGGATAGCGAAAAGTTCAGGTGGATGGGGCCCCAGAGATACGACTACTCGGGTCAGCTGATAATTCTGTGCACTTAGAAAATATTGTGCTTCATATCTAATACTGTACTTCACTTTGTAACATTTATTTCTTTGCAGGTTTCAAGAAGATTATAGCGAACAAAGGTTACGAAGGAGAAATACAATTACTGTCTGACCCTTGTCATCCAGCTACGAGCACAAGATGCACAAAAAACTGTACAAGGTGTTTGCAACATATGCACAAGAGCGTTCCAGACAAAGAAATTTCCAGTGAGTATATTGTTCAGTTATTAGTGTGTTTGTGTACATTTATTTAAACCGATATGTTTCAGGATGGATGACCATCAGAGGTAAATTCTTCATGGTGAACGGTGCTAATCTCGCCTGCGCCTGCTCCAGGAGTCCCATGGGGTTCAGTCCGCATTGTCACCTGGGAGATGGTTGCGTGGATGTGATTCTAGTTCGGCATACGTCACTTTTTAACAATATAAGAATGTTGCTCAGGCTGACCAGCAAACAGAAGACTCTGGTATAATTTCTGCAGTAACTAAAGAAAGAATAACGTCAGAATATTTCAATCGGTTAAGGAGTGAAACGATTGATAGAGTAAAGGCAATCTCTGTGTTTGCAGTATGATCTACCTTTCGTCGAGGTATACAGAGCAAGGGAGTTCACGTTTCGTGCCCTGCCCACCTTGCACATGCAGTCTGATAGCGAGATTAATAATCGCTATATGAACTCGAGCTTGAGTGTGTGGAATTGCGACGGCGAGGTGATCGATAACTCCAACGTGAAAATCAGGTAAACACTCGTTCTATTTGCAGATACTTTTAAATGATAATTCTTGTTCACAATTATCAGGTCAGTGTTCGTTCCTATAAAGAATAAAATTTATATATCAAGATATACTTGAAATCTGATTTAATTGTAATTTCACAGGGTACACTGCCAACTAGTGAACGTGTTTACCAGAAGAGCGGAAGAAGTGGTTCACGATCGGACATGTTTTTGTTAATTGCGATCGCCAATTGATGTTCTAAAGTGGCGGTGTTTAACACTTTGACAACCAAACGTTTTATTTCTCAGAAAGTCCATTGGATTATGTTTCAGATTTTAGTAGTAATGCATTACCAATTTTATGAAACGAGATGTAGATAATTTGAGAATGGTCGTCAAAGTGTTAAGACTGATAGAATGATGCGCGTTTCCGCTGGGACACGATGGCCATTGAAACCCTATAGTTCCTTCGACTTGCCCGCAATTTACGAGCTATCGCCATGTGATGTGTGATCTGTATAAACAATGCTGTTCGACGGTGATATTTTGTGATGGATGGTACACCAAATTTCAAAACTTTAACACTTCATAATTATTAAATTATAATTCTCTATACCTCACTTCTAGGCACTTCGAAAATTTAAGAGGTGAAAAATTTAACAGGAGTCCAAGTATCTCAACACGAAGAATCACAAAATATCATCGTCGCACAGTTGTCCGACCATCAACGGAGTTATTTTACACCGCTGCTTGGCAAACCTTTTCGAGCTAAACTTTGACCCAGTGCGAACGAAATCAGCGCCTAAACAAGGTGTAAACTCATTGAACACCATCTAAACGTCCACGAAGAACTCAGTATGCGAAAACTATCCTCATTTACGATACTCGTCACTCGGAAAATTTCCTTTATTTTCTCTGTATTTTTAGATGTAATTCACAAACGTCTCAACATTCCACTCGCGCGACTCAGAATGTACTTATAAAATTTTGTACGAAGTACGACCTAGGTTTTTCCTGGTCGTTTTTTTCCGGCATTGCTATATTGGTTGCGCGCGTTTTTCGTACTTAACAGAGAACGAAATGGAAAGGAGAGATGAATGTAATTGTAGATTCGGTGCACGGATATGGATTCTTCCTTGTATGATATTTCCAAGGATATTACACCATTAGTCCCTTAACACTTTGATGTGAATCTCATTGGTCGAATGAAATGAGTCACGATAATTAATAAGTACAGTAGACTCTTGTTATAGTCTTTATAGTCTTGTAAGATTATAGTCTTGTAAGATTATAGTCTTGTAAGATAACGATAGTCTACTGTATTATTTTTGCCAAAAATGCGTAATGGTATATAGTAATATATATAACAGCGCTTTATTAATTATTAAAGTGTCAATTATTTCTATGAATTGTAAAAGCATCATCAAAGTGTTAAGTTTAATCGATGATAGGATTCGTTCGTAGAAAGTATGTACAGTATGAGGAGTACTCCAGAAAACTCAGTATATTTTTCACGTATTAGCACGATCCAAAGGGACAGACAGATGCAATTGAAAATCGTTAGGATATTATACCGCGCGTCAATAATTCGTCATCGATAGCGTAGCGATATATTTTAAAGAGAAAGGAACGACGCGTATTTTCTTGAAACGAGAGCGATTTTAGCTGTGGCTGTTAGAGCTTAACGTTTACAATTAAGCTAAGAATTTCGAGCGGCATTTACTTTACCAGAACAAGTATTTCGACCTATTTATTTAACGCTATAAGATAGGTTCTATAAAAAGAATATTGAACATTGTAATCGATTGTGACAATTTGAGCGATTCGAAAACGAACGAGCAACGAGAGGAAATTGTTAATTTAATATTTTCTAGTCTGTTGCGTTAAGACACGAGCACTCCGTCCTTAGTTCCGTTTTCACGAGCCCAGTGTATTGTAAAGGGCGGAAGTTTCCCTCGTCGCTTCGTTATCTCGTCTATCTTCGATAATGTTAAACCTTGAGATTAAAAGTGTTTTGTAAAAAGGCGAAGGTACTCTGTGATTTTAATTGTTTAAATATTTGAAGTTTGTTAATTGGTTCTCTGCTGACAGAACATATAATTTTTTATCGAAATTTCATTTTAAATTCTTGGAACATTTACAAAATTTTCATTCTAAAACATATCGCATACAAAAGACAGTGTACCTTGCTATAAAACGAGCCACGTACCGAATTTCGTCCAGCTGCATTTTTCCTTCTTTTTTACGTCCACGCTTGGCTAAACTCGTTTAAAATTCGACTACTCGTTGCTTCTCTACCGTTTGCGGTCCGACAACCGTTACTTCCGGTCAAAGAATGTATTTATTTAAGTATTCTTTCGCATCGAGCGTTCTTTGGATATAGAGTTTTTTTATTGTAATTATTTTTGTATCATATGATCGCGCACACGCTTCCGTATAATTCTTTCCGTGAAAGAAATAGAAATTAATTTAATCACAATTGTAATTGTAATCTTTATGTTCGTTTGAAATTGGAGGATCGCAAAAGATCAACGACAAAAAGAGAATAGCGATTATATAGATAAAGATTATTTTGTAGATTCGTGTGTACAGGTTGTACAGATATATATACACACTTATATATATAAATACATATGTATATATTATATATTTTAATTACGTATTTATATATATAGAAAGGGAGAGCTGAAAACCGATCGTTGTAACGAATTGCGATGCAACTATAACGAGAGTATTTAATTAATTTTGTGATGGTGCACCGAATGTCAAGTGGCTGCGTATATTAATAAAAATTGTACTTCACTTTTTCAAATTTGTGTTGTATTTCTTTCCCCTCCTGTTATATTCTATAAATCTCTATTTTTAAAAATTCTCTACTCTCATTTTGTTAAAGAGGACTTCTTTATTTTTATTTATTTAATATTGTTTAATATAATTTTATTATAGTATGTATAGTTCAGAGATTATTATAATGAATAAGATTTTTCATTCATAAAATTCAACGCCATCTATTGGACGGGTACCAGGAGCTACTCTTAGTAACAGGAGTGCAGAAAAGCGAGAAGGTATCCGGAGCAAGAAGAGGTCTCCACGCCCATTCAAAATAAAGAGAATACATGCCAATGAAACTCCCTTTCCAGGAACAATATACACACTTTTATAATTAATATTCAATCCCTGATTCATTACCAATTTTTTGATATAAAATTTGTTAGGATTTTTGCCAAAAATAATTAGTTATTATTCCTGCAAAATAAATGCAATTAATTTCGATAATTAATTAATTACTCAGTTATGCCACCTAATTTATGCATTTTCATAATTAAAACTTGATCTACGATTCATTACGAATTTTTTCATATATTATTTGTTAAGATTTTAATTTTAGTTAATGAATTATAAAGAATCTCTTTTGGGAATAAGTTTTGTCATTTCTGAAAACTCGGTTGGTAACAGTAAAAGAATTGACATTTTGGTCCGCCGGACGGGTACCAGGAGCTACTTTTGTAATAGGATCACAGGAAAGCGAGGAGGTATCCGGAGCAAAGAGGTGGTTTCCCGCCAAATTTGTGCGCATGCGCGGCAGTCAGACCTAGTGCGCATGCGCGGCCGAGGCTGCCAGCCGCGCAGGGGCGCGCATGCGCACAAGGCTAGAGGCGTGACTATCCAAGATGGCAGCCAATCACAAGCAAGCAAACCACTCATTAAAAGAATAATTAATTACTAATTACCTGCGCATAATTTACGCACTTTTATGATTGGAAAATAAGTTTGAGATCATTTGCTATCTTCCAGTACCAAATTTGTGCAGAATTTGTTCGTAAATAAAGAATAATAATTATTACGGAATATACTTCGATGCGCATGACACCCCATTAAAGAAAAATTAATAACTCATTAATTACGCGTCAAATGTATGCAAAAATGATTGCGCCTTCTTCAGAAAGGACAGAGAAAGATTCTTTAAGCTTGAAAGTATGAATATTGTTGCTAATAATTGAGAAATAAATAAAACACGGAGGCGGTATTATACGCAGTTACTAGCGTTCGTGCTTGTGGAAGATTGCTTATAATTAATTAATTACGAACAAAATCCGAACAAATAGTATATGAGAAATTAGCTGAAGGTTCATAGAACATTCTTCAATCATAAAAGTGTGTAAATTGTGCCGATTAAAGGAGTAATTAATGATTTTTTGAGTGTATATAACAGTATAGTATACTGTACAGGAACGCTACTGCGCATGCGCGGGCAGCTACACCTCTCCGGCCGCGCATGCGCACAAATTTCGCGGGAAACCACCTCTTACTCCGGATACCTCCTCGCTTTCCTGTGATCCTGTTACAAAAATTAGCTCCTGGTACCCGTCCGCTAGATGGCGCCACCCAAAATTTCCACTTTTACGAACAGATTTTATGGAAGCCTAACAAAAGCATACAAGTATACCGCTCAGAGAAGACTTTTAATAATTCAATAACCACGATGGAAATCCTAATAAATTATATATGAAAAAATTCGTAATGAATCATAGATTATAATTTAATTTTAAAAGTGCATATATTAGGTGGTATAACTGTGTAATTAATTAATTGTGAAAATTGATTGAGTTTATATAGTGCTGAGGTTAAATAATTATTTTTATTGCAGATCATGACAAATTGTGTGCTGGAAAATAGCTAATGAATTGAGGACCATTTGTTAATTATGAAAGTGCATGTATTAGATGGTATAACTGTGTAATTAATTAATTGTGAAAATTGATTGAGGTTAAATAATTATTTTTATTGCAGATTGTGACAAATTGTGTGCTGGAAAATAGCTAATGAATTGTGGATTGTTTTTCAATTATGAAAGTGCATATATTAGGTGGTATAAGTGTGCAATTAATTAATTATGAAAATAGGTTGAGGTTAAATAATTATTTTTATTGCAGATCATGACAAATTGTGTGCTGGAAAATAGCTAATGAATTGTGGACCATTTGTTAATTATGAAAATGCATATATTAGGTGGTACAACAGTGCAATTAATTAATTATGAAAATAGATTGAGGTTAAATAATTATTTTTATTGCAGATCGTGACAAATCCTGTGCTGGAAAATAGCTAATGAATTGAGGACCATTTTTGAATTATGAAGGTGCATATATTAGGTGGTATAACTGTGCAATTAATTAATTATGAAAATAGATTGAGGTTAAATAATTATTTTTATTGCAGATCATGACAAATTGTGTGCTGGAAAATAGCTAATGAATTGAGGACCATTTGTTAATTATGAAAGTGCATAAATTAGGCTTAGGAAAGGAGTGCATAATTAATTGTTTATTAATTTCAATTTTCTTTTGTTTCGAAGGCGGCCACCTTCTTACTCCGAATACCTTCTTCGCGTTTCTGCGATCCTGCTACCAGGAGAAGCTTCAAAACCACATCCACTAGATGGCAGTGACTCAAATATTAATTTTACCGAGCCCTTTCGATATTATCGACCTAGTAATCTCATAGGATAAGAACACAAAACAAAGCTTTCATGCAATGCTTTTATACATCATTTTCTTATCAATTAAGGTATCAAGGAGAATTTTCGAAATGAATACACATAGAATGTACTTTTACCGTGATATTTATTAAATTATTAATTTATACAACTTACAATAATCTACTTACCGACAGACATTTAATTCTTACCATCAGCTGTTTCCACATTTGACAAAACATAATTCAAAAAAGAAATCTTGTATAATTCATTAAAAATTTGTCTCAAATAAGGAAAATAAAATCAACGAATCAATTAAGATATAAGAAAGGTATTTACAAAAGAAGTTACCGATCGAGGCAGGATAAAGGATTTTCCATCGAAGTCCAACTCTTTTCCTCTTTTATATATTAAGAATTTTTAATAATCAATATTGTCGGATATATATATAATATATATATTATATATATAATATAATACATTATATTAATTGAGACAGTATGGACACAACGTATAATTGGCGCGGTAAGGTGACAAATTGTCCCTTCGTCGGAGGGTTGCCAGCTTCAAGGTCGGTTACCTCCCGGATTTTTATAATTTTTCTCTCGCTTCTCTCTCGTTAATTTTGGGCTTCCCCAAACCGCGGGCGGAGCTTTCTCCACGCTTATCACAACAGGTTTCTTAAGCATTAAAGTCTTTACGAAATCGACCCTGAAGAAAGAGGGTGCAATCGCAAAAACTGTAGAAATCAAACCAAAATGTTTTGGAAACCCCCGTTAAGGGTCAAGAAAAAACAAACAGTGTATAATGTTCTATAAACTATCTTAAATAAATTCAATTCGTTAACCCTTCGAACTCCAGACTTCTCTAAAATTTCATATATTTTGATTTATAAAAGAGTCCGAGAAAGTTAACCGATGTGCAGAAACCAGTGTTCCAGAAATTAGGAGGAGTTTATTCTGAACAAAATTTCCCTTTGCAGAAATTCGATCCGAAGCTCCGTTTTTGAGTTATTAAGAAAAAACGCTGGGACCAATCAGAGCCGCGATGCGCGCGCAGCGGCCGAGCGCGCGAAATCCTCGCGCTCCCATTGGTCCCAGTGTTTTTTCTTAATAACTCAAAAACGGAGCTTCGCATCGAATTTTCGCAAAGGGAAATTTTGTTCAGAATCAGCTCCTCTTTTGGAGACGCTAGTTTTTAAATGAAATTAACCACTCTTTCCACAGAGATTACTACGCTCACCCCTTCCGGTTACCACTATCACCACCTTTGTCACAGCCCTCCCTCGGTTATCAAGGCCAACCACCTCTTCTTTTTTTTCTGTTTAATTTCTTTTGCCCTCGTATTATACTATTTAGTCTAATCCCTGATATATAACATGAACCTCGTTCACAATCGTAAAAAAAAGGATCGTGAGACGAAAATACTCTTCAGCTTCCTTTTTGCCAAGTCTTTCGTGCTCTTTACTCTTTTGCTCACTAACTTGGGGCTCCTGAGGGTTGCAATTCGTCTTTCGACATTTTTGATTTTGGCAAAATTATTCTTTTTGGGGAATTAAGTTAAAAAGACTTGAATTTATGAAATGATGTGTGGATTCTTGAAATAATGTGTGATGAATGACACATGTGTAAACAAACATATAAAGCAAACGAAAATAAGAAGATATTTAATATTTTCTTTTTGTGATAATTTTTAAAGCAATCTACATAAAAGGAACGAAAGGAAACCAGTCAATCTTTGGTCACATGTGTGAACTGCCACACACATGTGGCCATTAGTGATCTTGGCTGTAATTATTCTTTTTGGAGAATTAATTTAAAAAGAATTGAATTCTTGAAATGATGTGTGGATTCATGAAATGATGTACGATGAATGATCACACATGTGCAATATATAAAAAGCAAACGAAAATAATAATACATTTAATATTTTCTTTGTGTGATAATTTTTTTAAAGCAATCTACGTAAAATAACTGAAAGGACCAGTCAATCTTCGGTCACATGTGTGAAGTAACACACATATGGTCATAGAGGTACACACATGTGTTAATATTTCGTTTTCACCCCCGAAAGAGGTTATGAGGGTTGTAAAACAGTAATTGTGCGTAGTGTATCTAAAATAAAAGTTTATAAAATTGCAACCCTGCGACCCAACCAAAAATCCCTTTCGCCTCGCCTACGTTTTGTACAACCAAATACTACACAGTGTGCTATTCTTTGCTCAATAAATATTCGATAAATATATATCATTGTATTTCATTATATAATAATATATATATATTTATATTGCAGTAGTAGTAATAATAATCGCACTATCGATCGCGGTCGTCGCGTTTACAATTAAACTTTATTATCGTTTCTCGTAGCTGAACTTGCACCTGGTTATGCTCTACGAAGATCTACCCAAGGGGAAATAAAAAGAGAATTTCCATCCGAAATCAATTTCAGTCGTTGAAAATATTCTTAAAGTCTAGCAGTATCGGTCGATCGCGTGTCTGTAGTCTCGATTTCCACAGTTTAGGGAAATTCTGCGATTTACTGCGGGTGGCCACCGGGATAGGGGGATACAACCCGAGCCTGATCGAGACGCGCGACCCTCTCCGAGCTACCCTTAAGCTTTTCCCTACAGAATCTACTACTAGTCAAATAAATATTATCTTACGTAGAAAAATTTCTCGTCTGCCGGCTACTTTCGCTATCTGCTGACTTCCTTCTCCTTTGATCCTTTTATAGTTCTTTATTTTTTATTCTTTTCGTTTATTCTTTTTAAGACATGAAGATACTCTTCAGAACTTTATATTGAAGTATTAAATTGAATATAATAAAACAAAACAGTTTGTAGTGCCTCAACTAAAATATATAATCTTAATATCATTTTTATATGACGAAAGTGTAATTTAAGAAAACGAAGACAAAATGGCTGCCTTTAAATGACCGCCATGAAATGACTGCCTTTAAATGACCGCCATGAAATGGCTGCCTTTAAATGACCGCCATGAAGTGGCTGCCTTTAAATGACCGCCATGAAGTGGCTACTCTTAAATGTCCGCCATGAAATGGCTGCCTTTAAATGTCCGCCATGAAATATCTTCTTCAAAAAATAAATCTCTAAAAAATATATAAACCTAAACTTTTAAAGAAACCTTGTCTCAAACAAATATAAAAGTAGTCACCCTCCATAATTTACACATAAAATAATTGTCAGAATATTATTTCGTGAAGATTCTAAAAAATATATAAACCTAAGCCTTTAAAGAAACCTTGTCTCAAACAAATATAAAAGTAGTCACCCTCCATAATTTACACATAAAATAATTGTCAAAATATTATCTCGTGAAGAATTATTAATTATTGAAAGAAGAAGGAAGTCAGCAGAGATGGCGTTCATAGAGTGGCTCTTACGCGACGATTCTTTTATAATGCACTTTCGGTTCAAGGCAGCTCGAGACGCTGTACAAAAGTGTATTTTCCTTCGCGAAAAATGAACGCGACGCGAGCTTGACATTTTTGAGCAGAAACGTGGAAGGGTGGATTCGAACGGTTGGTCGCGAAATTAAGCGAAGAAGGGAAAAATTTTCCTCGTTTGTATTTACGTGTGTGGGAAAAACTTTTCCCTCGAAAGCTCACCCTAAGGATATACTAACGATTCTATGGTTATTTTACAATTCTACACCGATTGGCACTCTAATCTAATCGCACGTTGATGATCAATCGATTGACGTGGGGAGATTCAAATTTTTTTGTGTCGATTTCTTGTTTTGCATTATTGTGACGCACTCGTGACGCACATGACGCACTTGTGATGCACTCGTGACACATATGACGCACTTGTGACGCACTCGTGAGGTACACGACGCACTTGTGACGCACTTGTGAGATACACGACGCACCCGTGACGCACCTGTGAGATACGTGACGCACTCGTGACGCACCTGTGAGATACATGACGCACTCGCGACGCACCTGTGAGGTGCATGACGCACTTGTGAGACGCATGACGCACTCATGACGCACACGCGAGGTATATGACGCACTCGTGACGCACCTGTGACGCACTCGTGACGCATATTACCACTACATGACCACTAATCTTGAAATCAAACTAATATTTTGTCTGCAATTTAATTTTGCGTTCGATTCTAATTATAACCCTTGTCTTGCAATATCGTGACGCACTTGTGACGCACACTACGCTCGAAATTAAACTTGCCCCTTATCTGCAATTGAATTTTGCATCCGATTCTAATTATAATCTTCTATCAAGCATCACTGAATACGTAACGAGACTAAATTTTCAATCTTCTTTATTTTTGTCTTCTTGTATTAATATTTAGTCATTCGTGCATGATGCAACAGACTATAAAATTGTAACTTAAAGGGTCAAACAGAAAAGTATTCAAGATCGAATATATTAAAAGCTACATTTGAAAAATATTTTTGACGACAGAAATTCACAAGTGGAAGTTTGTAATAATAATTGGGGGAGTAGGATGATCACCAACGTGCAAAAGAACGCTAAACCCGACGATAAAACCTAATTCGCGTATCCCGGAACCACCCTTGTTTCATTAATAGACACCGCTATTCCCCGTGAGAATTTTCGCCAAAATTTTCCATCAACGACGAGCGCGCTTAACAAAATAAGAACACGAGTTCTTTCTTTACAATCCCTATTGGCATCAAGGAAAGTATTAAAATCCCTTACACTAGGTCTTCCAACCCCCTGACTTCACCGGTCGCTAAAATAAAATTCTGCGGAAGAAATGAAAGTCTCGCGGTGATCAAGGGGTTGAACGTAGGATCCTCGGATCCGGGGCTCCAAAGATTTCAACCCCTGTGCGTTCGTAATAACTATCCTCTCTTCAACCCTTTACTCCTTCATCGTTCGCGGAGGATCTCGACGACATTCTTCTTGTCTTTTTCTCAAGCGAACCTAATCCCTTTAACTCTAATTTTATAAAACGCTACTTAACTTGCTACTTAAGCCACCTTCTCTTTATTGCCCTAATTAATGTACGTCGAGTTGTTCATTTACCTACTGCCTCTTCATTTCTTTATTACTTCAGTTATAATTTACGTTACTTAAATTTAAGCTTCTTTTGAAAAAAATTTGAGATCTCACTTAGACGTTGCTTTTATTTCTGAAGAATTATAACGCGTGGTAATTCCATGCGCTGCGATTCCAACGCGTGGTAACTCGACGCGTGGTAATTCGATACGTTGCAATTCCAGCGCGCGGTAATTCGACGCGTGGTAATTCGATGCGTTGCGATTCCACCACGTGGTAATTCGACGCGTGGTAATTCGGCGCGTGGTATCTCGACGCGTGGTAATTCGATACTTTGCAATTCCAGCGCGTGGTAATTCGATACGTGGTAATTCGACGCGTGGTAATTCGATGCGTTGCGATTCCACCGCGTGGTAATTCGACGCGTGGTAGTTCGATGCGTTGCGATTCCAGCGCGTGGTAATTCGATGCGTTGCGATTCCA